TTATAAGATATTATTATTATTTATTGTGAAATTTTGCCGCGCCTTAAAAAGTGCCGCCCGGGGCGGGCCGCCCCTGCCGCCCCCTACGCTACGCTACTGCTGGTGGCCCAAAACTCCTTGACTTCTTCTAATGCGGCCCAGAGAAACAAAAAGGTTGGACACCCCTGCTTTAGAGTAATGAAAAGCCTGGATGATTGCACACCAGCACCAAAAGCATTGAAGAAATTCAAAATTTTGTTTGTTATTATCATTAAATTATCCTTCAGGAAGTTGCTAGCACCATTGTTATTTCATTTTTGTGCTGCTCAGGTGATCATAGCGTAATCTGGGCATGCATTGCATTTATCAGACTCATTCTGTCTGTTGACTCAAGTCCAGAAAACCATCAGGTCAACATTTACAAAGATCTCTGGAAACGGATTACTGATGACCCTATCTTAATGAATTTTGGGTTGATGACCACAACCCTGAGACCAAACAGTAGTTTTCTCAGTGGAAGAGACCACAATCTCCAAGATCTGATAAGGCAAGACAAGTCAGAAGTGCAACAAAGCTTTTTTGATTTTTTTTCTTTTTATTATAAGGGTATTGTGTACTAGGAATTTGTTCTTACTGGTCAAACAGGGAATTCAGGCTTTTACTGTGATACTTTGAGGCAGTTGCACAATGATGTTTGCTACAAAAAGCCTAACTATAATGCAACTAAACTTGGTTCCTTCATCACAGAATGCTCCTGCAAACACATTTTTCAAAACATGAGGATTTTTGGCAGAAAATAACATGAAAGGACAACTTTTTTCCCCATCCTCATTACTCACCAGATTTGGCTCCTTGTAACTTTGTCTTTGTTCTCCAGTATGAAATTGAAGTTCAAGGGGCTGCATTTCAATATAGTTAAGAAAATCTAAGTTAAATCACAATAAATGCTTCAGAACTTACAAGAAAAAAAACTTTCAAGGAGCATTTGAGGCAAGGCAGAAATGAGCAGGATGGCAGCAAAATTTTAATTAGTTAAGTGAAAAATATTTACAGGCAAAATCTGATTTCTTTTGATTATATCTCATATACAGTGTATAATGTGCTTTCTAATAAATTATGTTATACTTTATTGTGTTTTTTTGCCATAAAACTACCTATAACAAATGATGAAAAATACATATCAAAATAGTTAGTTCATTTAATTATTCCCTTCTCATATGAACCTTGGTAAGTATAGTAAGACCCCACTTAACACTGATTTGATATAATGCGGTCTGCTCGAAGCCTTAAAAAAACTCAAAATTTATGCCAATTTTGATTCGTATATACTGTAATACAATTATTTACAAACACAAACCAATCAGAAAAAGGTGGCAAAAAGGTTTACTTTCTTTAAATCTATGTTTGGTGCAATTTTAGAAAAAATATAACATCATGGATGCCATAGGAAATATTGACTTTGCTTGGCAAGAATTAACTGATAAATGCATGAACAAAGTGTGGAAAAAATTATGGCTAAAGGTATCCAAGAATTCTCAACAAGAAGAGCATATCGCTCTTCTTGTTGAGAACTCTTGACCAAACTCAACCTAATCGATACAGCAGGACTAGGAGATGTAGACAAACAGGATATTGAGGAGTTACAGCAGGTTTCTGGTGAGAGCCTTACCAATGACGACCTTCAAGAACTGGCAGAAGAAGGAATTCTTGTAGAACTGGAATATAGAGATTCTGAAAACGAAGAACCAAAAATTTCTTTACAGTTTTTCTTAGTAAAATTTTGGTAACGATTACCAAAATCGTTGATCAAATTGTAGCGAATGATCCAAATTTTGAAAGGAGTGCAAAAGCAAAACGAAGCGTTTTGGATGCAATCTTCTGCTACCGACATTTGCTACATAAGTGACAAATGAAACTTCACAACTTTATTGCAAAAAAACAAATTTCAGAAAAGTTGGGACCTTTGTCACAAAAATTGAACTTTACATTTCTGTGTGTGTATGTTTGTGTGTTATTTAACATATATTATTATACAAATTAATATAAAAATAAGTTAAAATTGAAGCAAAATTTGTTTATTTTTGGTTGCGTGTTACCCCATCCCTATTTACTCTATGTTAAAATGACCTCGTTTAATGCTGTTTTGTTTAGCACTTTGTCCTTGATATAAAATAAAGTATTTGTATATCTTGTCATAATTTTTATATTATATCATTTTTATTATTTTAAAATACTTTATCTAATTGTCATATTTACATTTATTTAGTAATTTTTAAACTATCTTTTTAAATTTAACATAGTATTTTTTTTTTTAATTTGACAATGACAACATTACATTATTGAAAGTACTTTAAATAGTTTATAATTTTAGTGTTTTTATATTTTATTGTATCAATTAAAGTTAATTAACATCAAAAGATGTTTTTCATTTCATTTGTTTTGGTAGCATTTCAATAATAGTCAACTGGAGAAATTGTAAGAAATTACCATAAGACAGATACACAATGCTATGTGTTTTCTGAGCTATACTCATATTGATTAGTCCTAAATTTAAATCTAGCTTTCCTGTTTAAACTTTATGATCCATTAAAATATTTTGCAAATTCAAAGAATAATGAGTACAAATAAATTACATAATTAAGAATAAATTTGATTAAACTCTTTATTTACTTTTGTTGTATGGGTTTTATTTCTTTACTATATAAAGTATTTATGTAAACATCTTATTTATGTTTATCATGATTGAAAAATAGCAAAAAACATTTTTCATAACCTTATATTTACAGAAAGCTCATCAAATTATGATGAAGATGATAAATTTACATTTATTTTACATTTCAAATGTATTCAAAATTACTGATGAGAGTGAATGTTTTATTTTTATGGTTTTGTCTGAAACAAAATGATTCAAACAAGAATAATAAATATTACCATCAGAAAGTTTCAAAATATTTATTAGAATAATTTTATAGGTGAATTTTTTTGTCCGATGGCTGGATTATTGTTAAATCTATCAAAGACAAGTCTGTCCAAGAGGGATCACCATTTATTTTGTATTCCAGACTACACATACACATTAATGGCGACAGGCCTTCCTTTTTAGGCTACATGCCGCCAAAAGGTAAAAAAAGTCCTTTAAAAAACACAAACATCCAATTAAAAGTAAAGGAATCGGTGACACAGATGTCTTTCTTCTTATCCATATAGCCAATGGGTGGTTCTGCTTTTTATCTACTAGAAAAAAGCGCTGGGAAATGTAGATTTTGAAGTGGCCCCCTGGCGACGGTACATTTAAAAATTTCTTTTTGTTGAATTTTTCCGTCCGATGGCTGGATTATTATTAAATCTATCAAAGACAAATCCGTCCAAGAGGGATCACCATTTATTTTGCATTCCAGACTACACATACACATTAAAGGACTTTTTTTTACCTTTTGGCGGCATGTAGCCTAAAAAGGAAGGCCTGTCGCCATTAATGTGTATGTGTAGTCTGGAATACAAAATAAATGGTGATCCCTCTTGGACAGACTTGTCTTTGATAGATTTAATTTAATTTTATAGGTTTCATAATTTCACAAATATATATATATAAATGGACTTGTTTGTGCCTATACATCACTCTGCAGCCAAAACTACACATCGCACATGAATGGTGTTTGTGTGTGGTAGTAGCCCCAATTCTCCCATCGTGCAGTATGGTGGTTGTGTCTCGATAGCTGTAAGGGTGTGAGAGATATAGGGTTTCAAAGTGGTTGACTTCGAAAATGTGTGACGCTTCAATGAGAATGTTTCAGTTTTTTCTAGAAAGTTCCAGAACCTAGAGGTGAAATTTGATACACAGTTAGGGTACGTCATGAAAATGCACACTAAGAAGGGATTTTTCAAAATTACCCTGCAGGGGGAGACAGAGAGCAATAACGCTTAACCTGAAGAACGGCTTCTACTGTACTATTTTAGATGCAATTTTTTTGTTTTTAATTACATTTAGTCTTCATTGAGTACTTAGGGGTATAAATTGATAACATTTCAGACATTGTTATAAATATTTTTTATATCGATTTTTTAACCAAATGTTCAAACCATTTTAAATTTGAATTTCTTTTTGCATATTGGTTCGATTATAGAATGATTGCAAACATTCCAGAAAATTTATCAAATTAAAAACAGTTTGTTTGATTCTCAGCAATTCTCATCATTCTCAACGGTAGGTGTTAAATAACAATTACTATGGTTGTTGAAATATTGAATGTAAATAGGGTTTGCTTGCAAAATCTGCGCAAGCAAAGCCGCAGGTAACAGCTAGTAACATATATTTAAATGTTGAAAAAATGAAAGAATAGTTCTAATAAGCGAAAGTTTAAGAACTGTAAAATTTCAAATAGATTAGGTATTATTATTATTTGTAAATTTATGTAAGGAAATCTAATTTAATACACTGGTTAAAATAATTAGGGGTGTATGTATTGCTCTCATTGAGGAGTGTGAAAGAATTTTCTAACACCTCATCAACAACTTCATCAATTTCAAGCCACACAAATGTGCAGTAGTTTTGGCCATTCACAAAAGTCAAAGGCATCTTACCAAACTCAGCATAATATTCTAAAAAATCATTTGTTCTAGTTGTGCAGTTGTACATATTATTGATCAGAATATTGCAACAAGTGCAATAAATGGAAACAAAACAATTCAGCTTAAATGCATATTTTTTTACATATACTGTATATTTTATTGTATCTTGCATAACACTAACATCTGATGTTCAGAATTGTTTATCATAAATTATTTTTTATGCTACATCACTTGATCTCCTCCAAATTTTTTTACCAGTGAAGTTTAATATTCAGTTAAATTATTTATAGTATTTCCTAGTTAAAATTAAAAATTTGAAAATTGAAATTTATGATATTTATTTTATTTCATTGTTAGAAATAATAGTACATTAGTTTATACAATGTGATAAAAACAGTTTTAAAAAAATAATTATATGAGGATTATTACATTTTTTTGCTATGATCTAATAGGCTCAACAGATTGTATCAAATCAAGATGATAAAATGCAACAAACAAAACAAGTTATTAGTAAAGTCAGTAATCAAAAAAGTCATCCAGTTACAGAATTACACCAAGTAATGAATACAGTTCATCAGGCTTCTAATGGTATGTTCTAATTCTAATGTATGTTCTAAATGTTTTTAATTTTTAGATTAATTTTAACAATATTTTTAAGATTCTGCAAAATAAAAATATCTACAATAATCACAATATTGTTTTTTTTAAAGGGCATTATATAACAGATTTAGATAATAATTATGTAAATTATGAAAAACTGTATATTAAACAGTATCAAACAATTTAATAAAACCTTCTATTTGTATGAAGTTTGAATATTTAAAAAAATACACACAGACTTCTTTTAGCCTATATAGCAGAAAGAGTAAAGAAAAAAACATACACACATATATATAATTATAAATTTGGATGGTATAATATTATATTCATTATCAAAATATAAATCTTTTTAATAAAGTATTTTCAGATAACTATATTAGAATTTTGAAATTATTTTTAATAAAATGAACAAAATTTAAATTCTGAATTTATTCCTTATAAATTTCTTTATTTCATGAAATTTTCTATTTATTTCTTAAATGAATACAAAAAACAGTAAAAAATTAATAGGCAAATAAATTTGAACTCATTTAATGTTTTTGGACCTAAATGAAACATCTTGAAAGTACATTTAAGAAAAACCTAAATATGTTTGATGTTGAACCTAAATTTTAAAGGAATTATGAATGAAACATCCATTGGCTTCTTTACTTTTGAAATTATTTATCAATATGACATAACATCATGCAGGAATGATACACCAGTTTCAAGGATCTATCAAATTTAACCACTGGACAATAGTTTGGGATAAAAGAGTATGTGTGGAAGGATGGGGATACAGCAGAGTTAAGAAAAGAGCAAAAACCTATCAATAGAGAGAAGAGAAAAATTGAAAGAGATAATGAAGATCAAGAGATTTGAAGGACAACACCAGAGATTGAGAATTTGATTTAACTGTTGTTTACCTTTGCTCATTACCAACTATCAATTACCTGAGTGATATCACCAAGCTTTATCAAAATCAAAACTTAATAAGTTACTCTGTAAAATGACACAGTGATGGAATTTTATACTTGTTGATTATCTATTAAAACAGAAGTTGTACAGATAATTTTTGAACATCCTGTATAAATTAATCAAAATGGGAGATCAACTATAAAGGATGAAAAATAAAAATAAATATCATGTCATATACTTTGACATAGCAGTTTGTTAGAAAATCTCATACACAGACTTCTACATATTCTATATAGCATTTCAGCATCCTTAGTATTTATAGACTTAGCTGTTTTGGAGGATATGTAAATTTTCAATTGTCAAGACATTTTAATTCCATTATGTTATTAGCTGGATGTAATAATCTAGCTCAGTGATTTCCAAACTGTTTTGAACCTTGGCTTCCTCCCCTTGGTTCCATGAACTTATACCCAATGCCCTGACCAAATAATCTCTTTCATCCATTAAAGCAGATGAAAAGAAACATTGCATTTAATGGTTTACTAATATTGAGAACAATGTACAGTAAGGACACAAAGTGTGAAATTTATAGAAAAGTTTTGCTAAGAATATTTCTAAGCCTTTCTCACACGAGAAAACATGTTAAGGGCATTGGGGGTATGGCTAGAGGATGTTGTCTCAAACATGACAGGCATAGTAGACACGAGGCACTGTCACACATCTTGCAGGATTGCAGCCATTCTTCTGTTAAAATAACAGAATAATGGCTGCAATCCTGTAACATGTCATCAACTGAATTTTCCCTCTTGGCTTTCTTTTGTAGACTTGTTTTTTGAGGAATAGTTATAAATCTTCTGTACGGTTCATATCTGGAGAATTGGTCAGCCAGTCAATAAATAACCTGAATGTTATAGTTTCTTAACCATGAAACAGTGCAAGCAGCAGTTTGGGCTTTAGCATCATCCTGTTGAAGTAGGAAGCCATCTTCAGGAGCTAATCAGTTGAGAGACTGGAGAAGGGTGGTGTTTAAAAGTCTGTGATAGTCAACTGCCTATAACATCAATTCATAAGTAGTTTCAAATAGGGAATGTTTCAATGTTGCTAGCATAGGTAATATGCTAGCAACATTGAAACATTCCCTATTTGCATCTTAAGTGAAAACTTAACTTGCTGTTTGATGCAAATTTTCTTCAGGCTATCATTTGGCATTTGACACCAATCTTGATCAGTCCAATGTAGATGATCTTTAGCCCAATGATACTGCTTCTTCTCCTGGACCTTCATTAGCAAGGGCTTACAGTTAACTTTGTATGATCTTTAGTCATTTGCTTTTAGCCTTTTAGTGGCCATTTTGACAGAAACTAACCTACCAATTTTTTCTCTCCATAGCACTACTGCTTCTGTGTATGTTCCTGGTCATTGAACCTTGATTTTTATCTTATATTATCTTCTCTTCACACAATCGATCCAGTGGAATTGCAGTGTTTAAGGAAGGACTGTACTGAGGATTCAGGACTAGAGGTTTCTCCCAATTTCTCTTATTGAGACACTAGCTAAACATTTTTCAACAATCTTTCCTCTGATTTCAAGAGTGTCAATTTTTTCATGTTTAGAAGTAGAAATGACTGATATTTTGACCTGTTGGACATTGATGCATTCATTGGTCACGATGCACAGCATATTGCTGTAAAAAAAAATTACAGGGAATGACAGGATATCTACCATTGCCAGTACCCTGCAAACTTCAAGACCAGTGCTTTTATTACATGCAAATCTTTTTCATATGACCTCTGCAGAAATTCTTGAACTTCATCTCAATTTTTTTGTAACAAAAACATTTCTCTTCCTGATTTGCATGGACTCCACATCCTCAATAATGATGCTTTTTCATAAATAAACAGAACATTTTCTGAGATGGATGCACAAATTTATAGGATGGGAAAGTATATTTAATGAGAAATAACTATCTCAATTATATAAAAAAAATCTTCTGAAGTTGTATTCTTATCATTTGGCTTTGATACTAGATTTGAATGATTTCTAATCTTAGCTCAGATTTGTGTTCAGTTATATTAAAAACTACTAAATTTTAATTTATAATTCTATATTTTCATATAATTTTATTTATTATAAAATTTTAGTATATAGCATATTATTGAAACAATATTCTTAGTCAAAATAAAAATCTAAATAATCAATTTTCTTGAAATATGCAAATTATCTATTAAATGTTAGAATGGTATAGCTTCAGCTGATATCTTCTCTAAAAACATATTGAATGGATTGAATGGATACCTTGAGTTGAAGAAAGATTTATAAGGACTTAAACTTTTATGTACAATGTGTACAACAGGCTGTGTTTGTGTGTCATATTTCATCAGTTTATTCCAAGTTATGTTGATGCTCTTTCCTCCTAGGTGACAGGTACTTTAGTATGATGAAAATATCAATAAAAAAATACAATTATATATATTCCAGAAACCATGCAGGATGTTGATGATTAGATGATCTTCCAGTGCAGAAAACAATTTATTCTCAAATATATTTATTGTAAGAATATAACAAGCCATAAAAATTAGTGGCCTCAATACAATAACTATTATATCCAAATACAGAAAATTTGTCTATGATAGTGAAACATTAGGATATCTTAGTGCAGGGGTTGGCAAACTATGGCACAGGGGACGATTTTCAGTGGCACTCTGAATATAAATGTAGTAAAAATTAAATATTAATTATTAATTTTTGGATTCCTTTATAACCAGACCAATTTTGATACTATATATAACAAAATTGGTAGAATCATACTGGCACCCGAAATAACACTATAAACTTAAGTTCGGCACAACATCGCTCAAAGGTTGCCAATTTCTGTTTTAGTGTATAGTGAAAACTCCATATTTGTGGTTTAATGCAATTTAATATTTGCAACCATTTTTTATATTTACAAAGCTAAAGTTTGCTTATTCACAGAAGGGTTAACAAAATGAATGATTTAAAAAATGAATCTTTGTTAATCTCAGGCAATTAAAGGATTTTAATGTTTTTTTTTTTTTACTCTTAAATGCATTTTAGTGCATTTCATGTTGTTGACAGTTACATTGGGAAAACGAATATAATCTCATAGTTTTTTTTATTGTTTTATTACATACACTTATTTTGATAGTAAATGTTATGTTTCATATTAGAATGCATTGTGAATCTCGACATTGTATTTTAAAAAAGGCTTTTAGTTATATTTTTGTCTATACTAGGTTACTATAACAGTTGAAGGCAAAATATGGACAGATTAGCATTAAAAATACTCCGACAGCAAGGCAAAATAAAAGGAATTTATTCATAGTTTTCAATCTAGTAAATGTAAGCATATTTTATTTTATTATATAATTTACACTTTCCTTTGGGGCACATAGCTTTCTTATATTTAAAATTGCATTATTTTACAACTTAAACAGCAAGTGCTATCAAATTAAAAAAATTGTTATAATGAATGTGCACATGTTCTCTAAGCTAGGGTAATCAGATTTTTTTTTTTTTTTATCTGGGACACACATCAATCATCACTTTTTAGGATACACAGTAGCAGCCTACATGTATAAGTACTGTCAAGTGGGTACTGTACAGTAGTACATACACATGACTGAAACCTAAACGTTTTAATTTGATCAAGTTTGTTTGCTTCAATCAAATAGCTCTCCTCCAGTAAGGTTTATAGCTATTTACTTTTGCACATTTTAGCTATATTTTTTGTTGGGCTGCAATTTGAAAAAATTGCTAGCCCTATAAATTCTCACTGTTGTCCGTCTGTCAGTCTGTCTGTCCTTCCTTAATCTTAAAAACGGAGTTAGATAGAAGAAAGTTGAGACTGGAAGTCAAGTTATTTCAATTAAAAATTTTTCCTTGAAAAGGATTTAGATAGATGACTGGCACAACTCTATTACTAAGAGGAAAAGTATGATGTTCAAAGGCATGACACTACTAAAAAATTGAGAATACTGTGACAAAAAATTGCAGTCTGGCATTGTGAGAATGTCACAATAAATAATTGTTTATTTTCATTTTAAAATTTGACTTCTTTTTGACATTTTCTC